CAGGCTGGAGAAAAGCCTTCCAGCAGCTCCGCAGTGGGGCTGATGGGCAGCTTCAGCAGGTTTTTCTGTCTCAGCAGCAGTTGGAGGATCTGCAGGATCCTTTGAACTTTGACCAGGACGCTGAGTAAAGTTTTTTTTTAATTGATAGTTTGCCCAATAAATTTCCGCAGCCGATTGACAAATGATGGACTTTTACTGCATAAAGTCCTGATGGTGTTGAAGCAAACAGAAAAAGAGCATCTCTGATAGAAGCCCAGAACCTTCAGCACTTTGTGAACACATTTTTGTTTTTTTAATTGATGCAGCGTGAAGCTAGGCCTCTGGTTCTCCTCTGACCTGTGTCCATGAAGCATCATGATCATTACTTGGTCTGACCTGAAGATCCTCAGGTTTCTGATGGAGATTTACCTTGGAACTCCTGTGCACAGTCACATGCATTCATCAAACTGCCACAAAGACTGTTTCATCTTCAGCTTCCTCTTGGACTCCTTCATTTTTTATGCACTTTTTTCTGAGACTCAAGAAGCATCGTTTGCTTCTGGTTCTGAAATTTACCTCATTTTAAGTTGTTAACAACTTGTTCAGAAGATCCAGGACAAAATGGCGTCCAGCATGTAGGCTGTGTGTGCGTCCTGAAGAAAAACTACTTTTTATTACAGCACTCTCGCTGATTTGTGGGCTGGATTCTGTTCCCAAGGCTGGTGTCGTCGCAGAACTGGATCAGCAGACTGGTAAAAATGGCAGAACTGGATCAGCAGACTGGTTATGAAAAGATTAAAGGCAGATGTTGTATTACTCCAAGAAATTCATAAATTACCGTCAACTGTGGACAAGCTAAAATCTCCTGAGTTTCCTGATGTATTCTCAGCCTGCTATAACTCAAGACAGAGAGGAGTAGCAATATTAATACATAAAAATGTGAACTGAAAACACTGATTAATGTTTGTAAAGATCTAGTAGAGTATTGTGTCAATGGGTAATTGAGGGCACAGATTGCGTTGTAAAGCTTTTTGAGTATTTTGATAAGGTAGAAAGTGCTATATAAGTGCTGTACATTTACTTTATTCCACTCTGGAGTTGCCCATGGTGAGAGGCATCAAGATGGTGTGGGTCTACATGTAGCCCCCTGACTTGGGGCCTTTGTGTTGGAGTTTTCCCCGGTAGTTGAGAGGGCATCTTCCCTGAGACTTCGGGTGGGGAGAGAGGCTCTGATTGTTGTTTGTGCCTACCTGCCAAATGGCAGTTCAGAATATCCGGCCTTCTTGGAGTCCTTGGCAGAGCTGTTGGAATATGCTTCAGCTGGGGACTCCTTTATTTTACTGGGGAAC